CAGCAGACATCCTATCCTCGATGTAAATATTTGCAGACGGTGCTAAAATATGGAGAGTAATTCGCTCAGCATCCGAACGTGTCCACCTCCAGGTACCTCTGACTCGGATTAACGAATGGGCAGAAAGGAAACAGCTCTCACTGAACCCTGCGAAGTGCCACCTTCTGACGGTGCGCAGCAGATTCTTCAGCACATACCTTTCGGGGCAAGGCGTCCTACAACAGGTGACTAGTGAACGTGACAGTTATTTTGTCCTCACGGCCAAGTGCGGTGCAATGGTTTGCGATGGGCCAGGAAATTTCCCCAAGTCTCTGAGTCTGGGTTAATCTTGTAGGCACGCCATGCTGCATCCCTTATCGCCAGGCATTTGCAAGTCCTACTCCTTATAATTGAAGGCATTTTCGCGGGACGACGGGGTTTGGTCTCTGATGCTTTGTTGATGATGTCGCTGAGCTTATTAACGAACTCTGCCCAAACGTTGTCAAGGGGACTTTTGTTTAAGAATCCCCAAGCAGCTGCGTCGGCGAGTTCTTTCAATACGTGGTAGCGTGTGACTGCATGAGTTAGTTCCGAGTGTGCAGATGGATATTCTGCATAACACACATAGTCAAAAGTTATTACTACATGGTCACTGAGACCTAATGGACTATCCATCAATAACTTGTCAACCATGAGCTCTTCATTTGTGAGCACAAGGTCCAATATGGACGGTTTGTTTGCTATCCTGAAGCTAGTGGGCGTGGTGACGTGATTGTACAGAGGAATATTAGCGATCAGTTCCTGCAATCTGCTTTGAACTGCTCACTGGGCGATGCCGAAACCTCCAGATTGCGTAGATTGAAGTCCCCGGAGATGAGAGTGTGGCTGTACCTAGTGTGTGTTACTCTGTTTAGGCCACGAATCAAGCAGGGATCCATTTCCAGACTGGACGTTGGGGGGCGGTAAACGATAGCTATGAGACATGTATCGTTGTGTCTCAGTCGGAGACGGCACCAGAGTGAGTCGGTAACGTGTGTTTCCAGGTCCTCAACTATTGTACATTGTAGATCGCTGGGGTAGTAGACTAGGACCCCACCTCCTCTGCTGGGGCGGTCGTTCCGGATGAGTGACATTCCGGCTATCTCAACCTCAGTATCAGTCACCTCTTGGTGTAACCACATGTCGGTAATATAAATTAGGTCCCAAGCATTCGCAACCTGACGTAGCCGAAGTTCGTTAATTTTACTGAGGAGCCCTTGGACGTTGGTGTACATACATGAAAGTTTCTCAGATTTACTCAATGTTTCAGAAGTTGTACAACTCATACGTGAAGTTTCGCCGACCAGTGAGTGGCCGGCGACTGGATGGGTGGATGAAACAAATGAGTTTACGCCGACCATTAAAGGGTCGGCGACTAATCGTTTTTTTGGATGGGTTGCATATTCTCGAGAAGTATTTGATATATAACAGATATCAGATGCTCCGAATCCCGGTGTTTGTTCGTGCTCTGCTGTGCCCCTCCGGATAGTATGGCTACTCTTGAAACCGTCCCCGAGTCGGGTCCTGCAGCTGGCGTTTTCACTAAGAGTTGTGCCTCTACTGAATTGTCATTAAAAGGTGTTGGTGTTCTTGCTGCTTTCAGACGAATTTCCGTTGGCAATCTGCAACGGAATTTGATCCAGTTCGCTAGTAGGGTTTGTGCCATTTGTTCTGACTGTAACACAAGTTTTAAGAGCCTGGGACCGCATCCTCTATAGTTTGGTGATATGGGGATCCTTGTCAACGAGGTGACCACCACATTTTCGAGAGAAAGAGCCTCCGGATGTAGTGCCATTGCTCGCGGTCATGCATCTGAGCATCGTCGGAAGAGGAGTCAGTAAGCTCAGGAAAACCGTGAGCAATCACTGTTTTCTTATCTTGACTTATTCTGTACCTATCTTTGTTAGCGGGATCCCCTGAACGTTCTTTCCACGGGATTTCGGGTAGTATGCGCACTCCACTTGAGCCGTTGCGGAGACGATTCGCGGACAGCAGAACGGCCTCAGTCTCGTCCGCCGAGTTTAGTGTTACCCGAAGTAACCGGGGTTCGCCGTAGTGCAACGCGTTTGGGTGGCGCGAGATTCTTTTTAATGTCGTGGGATTAGCATGGACTCCGATCGACGTACAGATGGAACCCCACTGATTTCGATCATCCCTCAACTTACCCTTAATTGTATTGGATTTGGATTCGGGGACATTAGTGCATACAATGTTTAGGACACCATGGTTGCGCCTGGTGGCTACTGGTTTTGGATTTCGAGGCTTAGTTTCTGGTGTTTTTGTTGGATTTTGTGAACGGCCTTGGTGTGTGCCATCCGTGCTGCGGCAGTTTTGTTTTCTCTAGTTCGGGCACAAAGGTTACCCGTGCTCTTTCCGGTGTTTGCTTGGCGGCAACCGATGCGTACGTTGCCGGGTAGTTCACTATTGCTGGTTGACTGTAGCTTACAGTCTCGAGTGTAGCGAACAGACTAGTAGGTGCAGCACACAGTACAGAAGTTGAGGCAGGCGCGCTGCAAGCACTGTTTTTACTTATATGAGGGAGGGAGAATGGAGTTGATACTGCTGGAGGCTGAGTCGTTGGGGTTGGGTTGGGACGCCTGGCTCGCTTCTTCGGCCTGACTAGTGAGTTCGGGGTGTTATTTTCACTCACAAGTGCAGGTCCGTTTCCTCCCATGGGTGTAACTCTGACGCTCACCAGTTGGTCGACCGATTGAGAATGCACGTTATCTCACGTCCACTCTGTCGCATCAAGACGGAACACAACACAACTGGGACGACTGGACAAGGGACGTGTAAACCTGAGCACGTGCTCAAGACCCGAAGCAGAAATGGTCGCAACTGAACCGCAAGCGGAATTGGGCCCCCAGCCATCATGCAAGCACATGTCACTTTGTACGTATCATTCATACCTCTAAAGTAGTGTTATTCATAGTAGTGTTTAGCTTTCCGATTTTGCAATCAGTCACTAGTTATCGGCACGAATAAATCTCGTAATGCAGAGCAGTTCGCCAATGGGACTTGCGGTGTTCTTTTACATTCAACTTTTCTGAACAGTGTGATTTCATGTTTCGAAAGCCATGAAGACCATCGGATATGAACGCCATTTTACGGACTCTCGCACCAGGCTTTGCAAAACATATGTAGTGACATGTATGGGTAACTGCTCGGTGGTCCAATTGAATGTTCGAAAATTTGACCAGCATTATCTCGAGGGGGTTCAACGACGCGTCACAAGAAGTGATTCGGTTATTCCACAAATATGAGTTAAGAGAGCGCTGCGACAAGTTTGGATTTGAGCCACTCTGACTTCGAAGAATGAAGGCGCACCTATCTTTTCTCTATGGAACATTAAAGCAGCAAAAGCAAGTTCCGCTTGCAGCATTCACAGGTTTTAAACACTAGAATCCCGCTAAAACAAAGAGATAACTGTCACAATTCCAAAATTTGCTATAATAATCAGAGAACGTATTTTTGGTCCACTACACAAATATATGGAACAAACCCACGAGAAAACCGAACCTGCTGTACACTGCATAATTGTAAGTTTGCGATTTGTGGGCAGTTGACCATCCATAGTGTGATTAATGTTTGGAACAACAAAATCCCTAGATAACGCTCTCGAGAACGGTATCGATGGAGCCTAACTAAATTACGAACAACACATGTACATAACTTTTTGGATCACAGCCATTTTCATTTTATTTTTCTTCACGGCCCGGTTCGGCAAATGGTCGATAAAACAATAAAAATGCGGATTACCTTGTGTTCTCTAAACATTCAATTGCCCTCATATTTATTAAAGAATATTCATGCGATGACATGGAAAGATTGCAACAATGTTTGCTCTGTTGCATCTACGGAATTGCTTCTCGCATCGTCGAGGAATATACTATTTATTTATTTACGCCCCTAAGTGTGTAAGCAGTGCAATGAGTGGATTTTTCGAAGCACAGTCCTCGCAGTAAATTTCAGATCAAATAGCCAAATAGACAACCAGAAGAATGCTAGATAGGCATTTCACACTATTAGAAGTCGTAGTTAACTTTTACATCACGACAGTCCACATCCATCTCTCATGGCCTAGTAGTATGACCCGCTGGTTAGTGATGCAAACTGCTATTATGGAAAGCGGATTGGTTTGGTTTTTGTATGAGACTGGGTCTGTTTATCACTGTCCAATATAAATAGGGGGAAACGGTCGTCTGTTGCTTTTCCGGGAACATGGTAGGCAATAAAACTTGTAGGCTACTGAGACGAACTCAATAAAAAATATTTGGCTTATTCGAACTGATGGAAGCAGGCGAGATGAAGCACGGAAAATATGTAAGCAGAACGGAAGATGGTATAACACACAAACGGCCAAATGAGTGGTGATCGAGTAGGGTGAATTGCCCAGATACGCTGTTTCTTTACTGTTACACAGTGGATTTTAGATGAGAGTGAATGGAGCACGTAGTAAGAAAAGAAATAATTGAAAACATCCTTCGCATTAGTGAAAAACTTACAACCAAATAAGAAGGAATAGGGATACCCATTCATGTAAGAAAACCACGCCCGCAGAAATGAAGAGAGCACCGCGAAGTTGGAAATAAGTACATTATGTCCATGTAGAGTAAACCCTCTAATGTGAATGAGCTGGGTTTTTTCCAGATCGACCGCCCAGCTGAATTTGCGTGAGCAAGATAATCGAAAACTTAGGAAGACAGATGAGCAAAAGAACACTGAATATCGTGAGTTATCATCTGATTGGGGTTGATGGTTACTTCACATAAGAAATCAAAGGTCGCTGGAAAAGAGAAGAAACTGGATATCATGGGGTGGGAAAATGCAAAAGTTTGTAGGTTAATCCCCTACAAACATCATAATCAAATATACATTTTGTTCTCATTTGTCCTATTGTTGGGATAGCTTGAAAATAAACTGCTCATACATCCGATTTTGTAAAATAAAAAGTTGGGTCGTTCGGGAAAAGATGCTGAACCCTATTCAGCTGGTTCATCTGCCAGTAGCATGGAATATAGCTGCTTGTCTGCCATACATCCATTCATAAATTCCTCGCGCGTTAACACACCATCGGCGTTACTGTCCATTTTTTCGAATATTTCATTTGTTCGATCTTCTGGACTCAAATCTACCGTTGACTCATCCGCACCCAACATGCTGTAAATTGCCTGCGTAGGTAAGGAAACGTGGATAACATTTATCGCAGTACAGGCAAAGATTTTGTTCCTCACAAAATGGGGGGCAAGTCAGCAAGAAATAACTTATTTTTATACTTTAACTGCAAGGTGTTTTAGTGGTTTAATGAATCCTTTTCCAATGTTTGAATAACCCGCATATGCGCTCTGTTTATAACCACGTGGATACATTCAAGGACTTTCAATGGCCATATTGATTATACTCAAATATCGGTCGGTAATCCGTACACAATCTATTTAAAGATTATCTCGTGCTTTTAGTTATTAAAAGAAATTGGCAGATAACCGCAACTAACTTTCACTACCGGGGGCAGGTGGCGCGAAAAGTTACAAGGCGAACATGAGTTGCGTCCTTATCCACACGGATCTCGATTGCGTATCTTACCTACTTTAAGCGCTCTTGATACTTCAGACAAATTATTTTGTCCGTTCATAGGACAGAAATATGTGGCAACCAATATATTTGAACTTGATGGAGTTATTAATGTATAGAAATTGCAGCATTGTCCACCATACGACTACGTGCATGGCCAACGTTCTTCGCGAAAATACAAACACGTATTTGACAAAACTGTTCAAATACGTATGCGTCTATTGTGCTTTCTGACCTGTACATACATACTGATAAGGTTTCGTGTAGCTGAATCAGGCGATTTACAGTTCAGTACATCGTTGTTTTATCCTTAGGTTGGCCTTTAACTGTAGTGCACGTTGGTTATCCGTTATTCCTCGACCGAAATCCAGGCTAAACAGAGAGATAAGTAAGGCGATGGAACATAAGCACACTGCTATCCATGCCGATAGTGTAGGGGAAAGACAACTAACTTTGAAGGATCCTAATCAGGGCTTATATTTAGAGACTGATTTTGATTAAGTAAGGTTAACCAAAGTTTCTGTACTGACAGCGAATTAGGTCAACATCTGTTACTAAGCAATTACGTCACTTTATCATGTTAGTGTTGCTGAACGTAGGAACTCACTTTGATAATTTCGACCATTTCCAACTTTTCTATCGTTCCGTTTCCGTTTATATCATACATTTGGAAAGCCCACTCGAGTTTTTCTTCTGGTTTACCTCCGGATGTGATATTGATCGCTAATAGGAATTCTTTAAAGTCGATCTTGCCAGAATTATCCTTGTCAAATGTGCGGAATACGTGAGTACAAAACTCTTCGGCATCACCATCAGGGAAGAATCCGGAATATACCTCAATAAACTTTTTCTTGCTCAGCTGTCCCGATGGGCAATCACGCTGATTGAAGGGTAGGATACAATTAGTTAGTTGATAAAGGGGAATGTGACCTAAAGACAAGTAATCTCCTACCGGATCGTCTGATTAACTGTAGGGTAATTACAACTGTCGTACAAAGTCGGCGAGCTTCAGGACACCTTTATCCACTTTTGTCTACATTAATGATTACTAGACATCTTAAGAATCATAGTAATTACGAAGCTTATCGCTACAACTTTATGTACGGGTACTAGCTAGTATGCAAACATCTAGGCCCAGGAGACCGGGGATCCCACACACACGCGAATGAATTGTTTTCGTACGTGTACGCAAAAGGGTTAAGAAAATTTAGGTAGTGGTTTAACCATGTTTAAGGTTATACGTTTTGACAATGTCACTGCATGTTTTGATACTAGCAGGAAGACTGCATGGACCGAATGCAATGGTTTCTTCAGTGCACAGCACGGTAACATGGAGCAACAACGAACCGGAACAAGGGTTGTTAAGCCAGATATATTGGTTTGCTGCTTTGTGAACCGTCAGTACCCTTCCGCGATGCCAACCTACTGTCATTCGGCGACACCTTCGGATTCATATAGGCAGGACAGCAGCTGCGTTGTATCGTTGCTGGCGCCTGGCCCCAAGCAAGTCACAAGGAAACTTAAACAATGATGGATTAAGGATAAGCTTTTTAATATGCGAACGCCTTGTGAAATAGCATCCCTAATTCACACCGCTCCTCCTGTTCGTGCTTATAGAAATAGCAGCGAATATCATTCAATGGAGAACTCAGAATAAAAAGTAAAGCTGCCTAACCCTTTCGTTGGTCTTGATTTCTCATCGATGATGAGATGTTTAACAGACCACACGATTAATAAACTAATTGCTGTAGTACCATCCACATCCATTTGGTTGTACTTACTGTAGATAACAACGCAATGTAGGACATTTTGAGGAAGTTGAGTATGGACAATCTAACTGAAGGTGTTTTATTTGACAAACATGAAATTCATAATAGTTGTCAATTTATTAGCCTTGGATACAGTCAAACATAACGCAAGCGAAAGCCTCTCAGGTCCAGACTTTGTTGTTGAAAATTACACGTGGTAATGCTACTACGCGAATACCATCAGTCACTTCTTAACTGTAGCGATTATGAAGATAGGCCAACTTCTTGCTGAAAAACATTTCGGGGCGTTGCATATGTATATAGAAGATATTCCGTCGACAACCATAACAAGTATACTGAAAGTGCCTGTTGCAAACGGGGACCTCGAAATCTGGTATTGAGAATAACGTTCGACAAGCAGTGGAGAGTGCAATAGGGCCCATTCAAGAGCTATACCTTTGGGTATAATCATCACGAAATCTCTACCATCCACTGTGTAGATGTGTTGTTTTGGCTTTCTTGTTCTACTTAAACTGAAGCAGGCGTCTCACAGTTAACAAGTGAGGTTACTTTCCTGCCACGTGCTTCCATCTCAAATAATCTATGCAAAAAGGCACGATGTTTTCGCGTTCAGTAGGTGAAAGAAAGTAAGGTGTTGCGTGCTCCGAAACCCGTCTACAGTATGCAAAGTTTTGATTATTGTTTTTACCTACCTGTTCAGCCAAGCTTGAAAAAGTTAAGGATCGCCGAAGTGAATGCTTCGATACAGCCATTACGGCTAACGGTATGCAACCTTCCGTTCCCCAGCTGATACATGGAAGCGTTTGTGGCTGCATGCGCAAATTTTGCAGTGGAGCGCATACAAATTAGTCTTCCTTTGGATTGGCCACAAACAAGCCTACTCAGTGTTATTTCGCGATGCTATGTAATTGTATATTGCCGTGATAACTGCAAAATATTGAAATAGTCAAGGAAGAGAAGTAAGTACGAGGTGATCGCCATCTTGTAATTGATTTGAAAACTAGGAATGTGCATGGAACTCGTGCTGGCTTTGGGATGAATCACACTGTGCTTCTGTCGGCTGCGGATAGCGACCTCCGTTTGGTCATTTTGGGCTGCGTTGACAAGAGCACGTTGTGCTGGATTTTCTCCTTCATTGGAATTATTTCGTGGAAATTTAATTACTATTAACTTTCATTTCTGATCTTGTATTTTTCGACCATAAATACTTGTGTTATCAAGGCTTGATTTAGGCGCTCCTGCTATCGCCATTTTCTGCAACAATTGGTTGCCATCTTGTTTTTGGATTATTCACAATGCCGAAGCAACCATCCTATGCTACTTGTTCCAAGATAGTCGGATACCGTGCAAATTCCCTCACGTGTGTTTTGTGCCAAGTTAAATACCACGTTTCGTGTTGCATTTTCAGTTGAACTTGTTCATCGTCTTCGTGAAATCCAACACGATTTCGTACAAAAGTATGTGAAAATTGCTGAAACAAGGTACAGTCAAAAAGATTAAGCCGACGTGTAGGCCTCATCCCTCCGTTACGAACAGCTCTGTGTGGCTAGCCCAACAAACTAGCCCGAAGAGTCTCCAAGTTTTAGCACAGTCTTCCTCCTATATCCAAGAAAACGCAACGGCATGGAGCTTAACCGTTGTGAGATGCCCAGTTTCACGTAGCATAACTTGTTTATCTGTTGTGTACTACGAGCACTGATGTCCCAGTAGGTGAAAGACTGAGCGTTGAAGACCAGTGCAAAGAATAAAGCACAGAATTACGAAAGAATTTTGGGTGTTAAACTTCTGTAAGTGTACGGTTAGCCAAAGGGCTTGAGCCTCACATTATGCTTCGCCCCGCAAGCACAACCTCGTCTAACCAGAGGCGCTATAACCTCCACCCACCCACCGGAGTCCAGTGATCCATCACCCGAAGTGAGCACCATCACGATGTCGAGCATTTACAGTCTAATTGACGGACTCCTCGACGCTGGCGAGGACTTGGTAAAAGTGGGGCAAATAATCCGTCTTGGAAAGCAAGGTGATCAACAAAATCGGCCACTGAGCATCACTTTTATTGACGAAGCCAATCCAAGACGCATTTTGTCCCGGCTAAGTAATCTGAAAGCTTTGAAGATCCATGTTCGTCCAGACCTGGACGCAGTAGAGCGGGAACGGCTCAAGCATGCCATCATTTAGAAGAAGACGAAACAGCGTACCGTAAATTTTCGGGTGGTTTCTGTAACGCATTCAGCTAACCTGGTCGCTTTAGCTTAGCCGAAATTTACGCGTAACCTGAGCACGATCCCTATTCGCACACGTATTCGGGTAAGACGCTGTGTCCTCGAAAACAGACGATGATACGCACACGACCACACGACTTAGAAGCACATCTTACAACCGGCTAAAACGTCGCACATGATCATGTGACCAAGCGAGTCCCAACCACCCACAAGAGGAGACAAGACAGGACGAATCGGACATCTGAGATTTCTTTTACGACCCACAAAGGCCGACCCACACTTGGCAAAATGGTTCATTCTGTAAGTGAAATTAATCACCACGTAGGGCGCGTGGAGTTAAAAAAGCATTGTTCACTTTAGCCTAATGCGCCCTGACTCGGACTGGCTGGATCATGGTACGTTGTGGGCAGGAATTGACCTCTGCGTGTCGCAGCCCATGCACTGGAGTTTATGGTGCATTTCGCAGGGTTACTTTCGGTTCCGTCAACAGCTTCCAACCATCTGCGAGTCAAGGAATACAGGCTTATCACTATTCAAGCACGCTTAGTTTTTCGTGCTGCGGCCTGCTTGTCACTTTTACCAATGGTTGCAGTGTTATGAACATGCACGATGCGCTTTGTCGTTTAGTTGCTTCTGAGCGGCCAGGCGTACCGCGACTCGCAGAAACATGACTGCATTCAGTGGTACACACCTAAAAAATAGATCTTATCCTTTAGTCGTGCTGCCGCTGCAGTGGATTAACGATCACCATCGGTGGCGTCATGCTCCAAATCCGGTTTTCACTGCGTGGAAGAATTGTGCGCGCTTCTGAAGTGACGATGATCTGTGTGAGCTACTGTTATGCCCCATCCACCTCAGGCGCGGTGAACTACTTTGGGAGCAGTATTTCGTAGTCTCCTGATTCGATGCTTGGATTGGCTGCCCCATTTTGAAACTCACATATTTCGTCCCATTTTCTACTTATGGGCGATTTTAAGTGTACGCGAATACAATGGTGTGATGTGCATTTGATGCATGGAGATGATGAGTTTGAGACAAAGTTCGTGGATTTAATACTTGAAACTGGTGTATCACCATACATATGCCAGCCAACATACACAACACCACGCTCAACCCCATCCTATTAACGAGCTACGAACAACTAGTGCGTGACGTTCGGATCCTGAAGCCCCTGGCTACAAGCGACCACTCAATGCTCATAGCTGATATGAACATACCTTTCCCATTTTCATATCCGCTGGAGGCGGCTTACCACTACTAGAAAACGGACATCGACGGTCTAGCTAGAGCCACGAGCCAACTGGATTGGACTCTGTCACAAGCTACACTGTGGAAGACTGTTGGACATTTATAAAACAGCGATTGTTGGCATTGTGTCCCCAATTTGTGCCCTTGAAGTGTCGGAAGTTTGGACCGATTAAGTCACATTGGCTTGACAAAGAGTATGGAAATCTGACTCGGAGAAGACACATACTGTGCGACAGATTCCTCCTCTCTGGCTCTGCCAAAGACTACAAGGCGTAAAGTGGCCAGGGAACATCTGCAACAGTGCAAAAAGCAATAAGCGCCGACATTTCGAAGAGCAGCTCGCAATCGCCGCGAAGACCGACCGAAACAGCAACCTTGTTCATATGAAGTGACGCGTGAAGCCGGCAGCTAATATGCCGGTGCGAGATGGCCCAAACGGACAGCCCCTAACCTTCAGCACTGAGCCTGCATCCGTGTTGGTGGCGCAATTCGCCTCTGCATTCTGCAAATGAGCTCGAGGTGTACCGTTTTTACTTATTTGGACAGTCTGGATTGCGGCGTTGAAGAAGGAAGTCAACTACTCACTAGCCTTGACGCACCAAATCTGCCGGACCTGATGGGCTCCACCCACTTATTTTCAA